ATGTATAACAGACCTCAATAAAATGACCAGCAAAATAGTAGGTATATTATGTTACTGATAGAAATAGAAGATTAACTTTATGGAGTAATCGAGTCTTATCAAAAGTAGGGGTCGGCAAAATAATCGATTATCAATCGATTCTTTTTGATCAATCGATTATTTGAGCAGCTTTTTCAGTTATGAACAAAATTAAGGCGGGAGTTGAGAACCGTTACATATCTTGGAAACCAACCACGTTCAATTACTGTTTAAAAAGTATTTTTTCTATAACCTTTAAAAATCAACAACTTTCGTCACGTTTTACTCCAACAGAAAACGACAGTTCTGACACCAGTGATAGAATATCCCATAACGTTAATTTTCATCTCCAGTGACGAAAGTAAGTGATTGCAATTTCAGATATTATAAAATTTACCCCTAAATCGCAGATTTCGTCGAGATCACTTTAAAGATAATTCAACTTATTCAAACTTCTTGTGCATCCTATATAGTAAGCCATGGATATAGAAAAAGTATAGTGTATTACTCGTCGAAAAGCATTTTCTGCAACATGAGAACATTATCAAACTCGGCTTCGCCTCGTTTGATAAACAGTGAAATTTCAGTATCAAAGTGGAAATTAAATCAAAGAAATAAATGGATAGGTGTACTATAAGAAGAAAAATTACCTTTATTTTTGTAATAATAACAGTAATGTTGGAAATAGTAGATATCAGAAACTTGAAAGGTTTTAAATAAACAATAAATTATCATTTTACGATGTTCTTTAATATCCCTTTATTCTTAAATGTTAATTCAGGACGGACTAGATTTCAAGGTTTTTGTCTTTGATTATTATATGTGGCTGGAATGCAATTTTGTGACTTACTGATGGGAAACCAGTTTTCATCATTCATTCTATGTTTACTTTCGAACAAAAATGAAAATATAAATAGCGATCCCTTTTTTTATACATTTTAACTTCACGCTATTATTAAATGGTATTTTTTTATTTTAATAATAGGTTAATTCTTCAATAACAACTTATTAGACTTAGGCAACTTCTCATACATTTTCCAGTAAATACTGTTGCCTGCCTATATTTTAGTATTGATTTTTACTGATTATACATACTTTTCTTTAATTTGATCGATAAAAATATACAGGGTGTCTGTAAAAGGACTTTACAAAAACATACCACATATTCCTTAGACCAAAATAAGTCGATTTAAGTAAAATTACCTTAGTACAAAGTTGCTTCGTTTGGGCTCCAGAGGGCCTTGAATTTACAATTTTTAAATCATTTTTCCCATATAAATTTAAAACGGCATATGCGATTTTTCTGAAATTTGGTATATTGGTAGAGTTTTATGTAGCAAAAAAAAATGGTATTAAAATTTTGTCCGATAATAATACATAGGCGTAGAACTTGATTTTTTAAATAATTGCACCTTTAAAAATTCTACGCCAATGGAAGAAAAGGAGTATGAAAATTTAGATTGCGCAACTCATTTACTTTAAAAAAGGTACTCTTGATGAGACTTTTTGACGAAATTTGCATTTTAGTAATTTTAGAACATAAACAATAATTATTAAAATACAAACTTTGTCAAAACCATGAGAGTAAATCAAGTGTTAACAAAGGTACTTTTTTGTAGTAAATGAGTACCCAATTCAAATTTCATACTCAACCCCCTTTTCTGCCATTGGCGTAGAATTTTTAAAGGAGCAATTATTTAAAAAATCAAGTTCTACGCCTATGTATTATTATTGGACAAAATTTTATACGATGAAAAACATAAAAATGTACTTTTTTCATATCTTCTTCAACACCTCTAATCGAGACTTTTAACAAAAATACTCGATTCCTGTCATGTACGATTTTTTGAGGAATATTAATTATTTGCCTGCAATACGTATACAAAAACATTTATTGTTGGTTTCCACAGTTTCATCTAAATAAAAATATTGTCAAGTTTTAACACCTAATCTCGTGTTAACGATTGAAAGTGTTCTATCTGACTTAATAATTAAAAAAACAAATGCGTGGTTTATTAATATGGCTGTACAATATACCAATGCAGAATATACCAATATGTTACTGACATTAGGATTTTGTGAAGGAAATGCTTGAGAGAGTGTCAGGGTGTACTCTGAAAGGTTTCCAAATCGTCATGTACCTAGCCACCCAACTTTTGCTGCTGTTGAGAGACGTCTTCGGGAGACCGGTTTCTTTGCTCCCAACACTGTTGATAATGGAAGAGAACGTTTTGTAAGGATTCCTGAAGTTGAAGAAGACATTTTAGAACGTGTTGAAGAAGATCCAGAAATAAGCACCAGACGAATTGGAAGGGAACTAGGAGTAAGTAAAGATGTCGTTCATAAAGTGCTTAGAGAACAATTGCTATATCCATACCATAAGAAGCCAGTACAAGAATTATTAGTCCATTATCCTCAAATTCATTTGGGTTTTTGTCGATTTGTTAATATGCAAAGAGAAAGAGATCCAAACTTTGTCAAGAAGGTTCTCTTTACCGATGAAGCGGGTTTTTAAAAGAAGAGGTAATATTAATAATAATAATAATAATAATAACTAATACCCATAATGAACATGTTTATGCCGTTGAAAATCCGCATGCAATAAAGGTAAACCATTTTCAGCACGAATTCAAAATTAATGTGTGGGCTGGAATAATTGGTAATTTCATTGTTGGTCCTGTCATACTTCGACGAAGATTAACTGGAGAAAATTATTTGGATTTTCTACAAAATACGTTGCCAGAATTGTTAGAAGATTTACCTCTCCAACTTCGGAGAGATATGTGGTTTATGCAAGATGGAGCTCCACCACATTTTTCTTTAAACGTTAGAAACCACTTGAATGAACAATAACCACACAAATGGATAGGCAGAGGTAATGACGCACCTGTAAACTGGCCACCACGTTTCCCAGACCTAACACCGATGGATTACTTTTTATGGGGACATCTGAAATCCACAGTTTACAGGGAACCTGTAGAAAATGAGGAACAACTCTGGTAACGTATTCAAGATGCAATAAACAATCTTAGAGGTGATGAAGAAGTTATGGAAAGGATACATTTTAATTTTCTTCGACGTATAAATCTTTGTATGCGTGAAAATGATGAACATTTTGAACAATTTTTGTAAAATCTCTATTTTGATTATGTTGTAAATAAATATTTTTGTGAAACCTATACACTCTAAATTATTAAAACAGAAATTTAGCGAAAACCATGAGAGTAATCGAGTCTTATCAAGAGTACCTTTTTTAAAGTAAATGAGTTGCGCAATCTAAATTTCATACTCAAACTCCTTTTCTTCCATTGGCGTAGAATTTTTAAAGGTGCAATTATTTAAAAAATCAAGTTCTACGCCTATGTATTATTATCGGACAAAATTTTAACACCATTTTTTTGCCACATAAAACTCTACTAATATACCAAATGTCAGCAAAATCGCATATGCCGTTTTAAATTTATATGGGAAGAACGATTTAAAAATTGTAACTTCAAGTCCCCCTGGAGACTAAACGAAGCAACTTTGTACTAAGGTAATTTTACTTAAATCGACTTATTTTGGTCTAAGGAATATGTGGTATGTTGTTGTAAAGACCTTTTACAGATACCCTGTATAATAATAATAAATTAATGTTTTACTTGTTTTACAAATCCATATACTTTTATTAAAACTAACATATATACTTTTCAATTACGAATTCTATTAAAAATTGTATTTGTCACTATACGCAGAAATAGTCCATTAGTACCAAAAACAATTGGCGCTGCTGTCACGCACGGAGCGAATAGCATATTTCTACGAATCACTAAAGAAACAGAACAACGTCATAAAAAGGAATTTAGAGGTTATTAAAACAAAATTACTATTTTAAAAATAATTAACACAAAGATTTCAATTTTTGAATTAAATCAAATTATAAAATAAACTTGAAAAAAAAAACGAATTTGCTTGAATTCAACCCGAATTTAAACCTCGAACCTTTCCAGGGCCACCGAGAACCAGGTCGGGCCCTAAAACATTCCACTATTAGTTTTAAATATCTTTGTTCAACTGGTAGTCATCTGTCAATTGTTACAAGTCACCAAAGTGACATAAACATAAAATAGAAGAGATACTGAACTCTATAGCTATACAGCCATTACAGTAACTTTGTTTTGAGCCAGTTTTTGATATAGGTAAATAAAGCCAAATCTACTTATTTTTTGGTAATCTACCTGAGGAAGAATATATGACATACCTTTTTGAAACACCCTGTAAAATATACGCATAGTCATTCTAACAATATTCTAAACTTCAATAGCCAAAATAGGTTAAATGGCACTTAACCTGTTTTTCCAGAAGAAGGAATTTCCTTTTTGCATATGAAATTCTTACTTTTAAATGTGCACTTAACTTGTTTTAGCCGTACAGTTTTGAGCAAAATGAATTATTGCCAAAACAAGCCTACATTTTTCTGTAGTTTTCCATTGTCCAACACTTATCTGGTTTTTGCAGTATATTTTTATAACCATCTTGGGTACAAAAATGCACTAAAATGGTAAAAATGTACTTATCTTGTTTTGACACTAAGCCGACGATATGTATAATATCCGTGTGGGTGTAGAATATTTAGTTAGCAGGATACTAAACGTTTGGTGTATTTAATAATAATACTCTCCATAATTCACCCCCTAACGAGTGAATTTTAACCCCAAAACTTGTCCGGAGAGGGGACGACTATTATTATTATTTGCCGTGGCGCTCCGGGGCGACTTAAAGATGATTAATGGTGTCATTTGACTTACACCATCTTCGCAACCATAATTTCTATTTTTATTGTTTTTAAAGTTGCATTATTGATATTAGCGTTATTTAAAAAATGTCTACCAATTCTGAGGTTTTCATCTTTCAAATTCATTTAGAAATTAAATTAAATGCAATTAAACTCCCACCTTATATCATCACTAGTGATACAGTTTATTTAAAAAGTTTAACCTTACCTTGATAATCCTCCGGAACGTACATGAGCTGTTCAAGAATTCTATCCCCGTCGGCCTGATCGGGGAACAACCTCGGCGGTCCCTTGTAGTTCCCGGGGAACTCGGTGCCGCCGCTCATAAACCACGGCTTGCCTCGATGTTCTCGCGCCGTCGGTTGTTCCCCCATCTCTTCCTCGCTATCGGCCGCGCCGATATCCAATCGGTTCGATTCGGGATCCATCGAGGGAGAGTCCACCGTAGCGTCATCTTCCTGAAGATGGACGTGGATCCAAGAGAAACGTTGGTGGATGGAGATCAGCAACGAGACGCTGAATAAGAAGAGGAGGAGGAGGAAGAGTCTTCGCGCCGATAGTCGCGGGGGCATTTTCAGGGATAATCCATTACCTGGAAGAAAATAGGAATGGTACAAAATGAACGCCAAAGTTATATATATTTATATTTAACAAAATATATATTGTAATGAAATTCATAATCCGACCCTGTGTCTAAAGCAAGCGCGACCTTCAGCTGGTACCCGACTCATGCTCGAGGCGATGGAACTTTCAGGAATGCCGCTGATGCACTAGAAACGGCTAGAACGGGCGGAGAGTGCCGTTGAGTCAGAGATGGAATTTTCGGGGCCGTCTAGAGTATTCTGGTTACATAGTTGGCTTGATATAAATATCGTGAGTTTGAAGGCGGCAGTTAGTTGATTATAGACAGTTTAGCATAGAGTATTGGAATGAAAAGTTAAAGTGTAATAAATAAATTAGAATTGTTAGTGTCTAAGTATTATATAAATTAAATAGTACGTCTGAAATAAATTGTAAATAGTGTGTTTTAAATAAATAAACTATAAATAAATTAGACTATTGTTACAATATGATGTGTCCAACACATGACTTTCCCGTTAAGTTACACTACCTGTAGTCGATAATTAGAATTAGTTCTGTCAAAGAGATTGTTTTAGAGGTATTATTAAGTTATTAATATTTTGTCCAAAAACGAATTGTCCAAAAATAAAAACGGTAGATTAGGTATATATTTATTTGCAGCCCCCCTAAATGCGTAACTATTGCTACAGAGCACGCCTTATATCCAACTGAAGGACAAGAAAGTCCACGTCTGATAGACATTTTGAAAACTACAGATATTTCCTCTTTCTAACCGTCATGTGATTCTTCATAAAAATCTCCAATAATTTTTAAAAACGTACATAACCATGGCTACTATTATATAAATAGATTAAAACACTTTAGAATTAAGACAAACATTTTTTCTTCTAAATGTAATGAAATAATTTATATTACTTTTTAAACCTGATAAAAAACATTATCAAGGTTTTTTGATTCATTTGATTATTCTTTTGATTTAACTATCATTGTTTTAATCAGCATTACATATCTGAAGTAGGTACTCGTACAAATGGTTTTTTTTACGTGACATTAATATAGCTCCACGTTGTACTCACGAGGCTTGCTTCAAAAGTGACGATTCGAGAACTGGCAACACTGTAACGCAATTAGCGACTACATGACAGAGGGGCTACCAACCGTAGATACATGTACAATATAGAGGACTCATTAAAATAAAAAAGGTGAAGACTGTCGACGCTTCGACCAAACTCCTCGACTATATTACAATATGGCACCTTCGCCAAAAGCAGCAATTTCGTATTATTCATCGAATATTCTACTATTTCCTGGACTGTGGACTTAGAATATAAATTAGTAAGGAAGCATGGTTACGCCATCCAGGTGTGGATGGAATATTTCCTGCCCTGCTTCAGCAGGCACAAAAGGAATTACTATTGGTACTTTACAAAAGGAAATCTGCTTTTCCAAAGTTTTTTTTCTTACGCCTTAATTTATATTTTTTTCCTTGTAGTTCTTGGGTTTTTGGAGCTATTGAGAAATGAAACTCCTGTAACTTTACCCACATACACGAGTTTCATTTCTCACCAGCACCAAAAAACCCAAGAACTACAAGGAAAAAAAAGTAGGAATTACTATCACACATAATTCGGCTATCCCAGAGCAGTTTGGAGCTGGGATATGTATCAGAAGCATGGAGAAGGGCCAGAGTCACATTTATTCCAAAGGTAAGGAAAAAGGGTATCGCATATCCTAAATCCTTCCGACCAATCAGCCTCACATCCTTTGTATTAAAAACAATGGAGAAGGCTGTTGATAATTATATCAGAACGGAAGTCCTGGAGAGGGTACCACAGACAATACGCGTACCGAGCAAGAAGATCTATAAAAACTGCCCTGGTACAGTTGACTGACGTAATCCAGGATGCACTGACAAATAAAGAAACGGTCGTGTGTGCCTCTTCCTAGACATAGAAGGAGCTTTTGACAACACGCCACACGAATCTGTAAAAAGAGCACTTACATACAGAGGAGTAGATATCACATCCAAATGAATAGCTCAGCTGTTATCTACGAGAACTGCAGAGACACAGATAGGGCAGGACATCATCTCCATCTGCAGAACCAGAGGATGTCCACAAGGAGGAGTTCTACCAATCATCACTTACGGGGCTATAGCCTGGATTAACAGGACTACGAGAGCTAATATCTCAAAAGTACAAATACTAGCCTGTGTTTGCATTACTGGTTCAATGAGAACCTGTCCTACGGCCGCAATGGAGGTGATCTTAAACCTCAGCCCTCTACATTTGATGATAGAGAATGTGGGCAAAAAGGACACGATATAGAATGATCAGGAACGGAGCAATCAGACGAAAGTCTACTTGCTTTAGAACTAAAGATACCTGGGACATGCCCCAAGATGAAATTCTTAAGAAGTACAGCTTTGTGAAAAACTTCAAAACCACAGAGCTGGGCTGCAAGAAAGAATGGAGCCAAGAATCCATCGCGCTTGCAACCGAAAGACGTGCTATTCAGTGGTATACGGACGGTTCCAAAACCATGGAAGGAACTGGAATAGGAGTGTATGGGCCGAGAACCAAGCACTCTGAAATCTTGGGAAAATACCCAAGCATCTTCCAGGCGGAAATTCACTCCATCGAAAAGTGTATTCAGTTTAACATCGAGAGAAACTATCGTAGACAAGAGATTATCATGTCCGATAGTCAAGAAACCATCAAAGCGCCGAGCTCTTACATAATCAGCTCAAAAATGGTCTGGAGATGCCTAGAACAATTGAATTATTCTCACTTGGGTCCCAAGACATAACGGGGTACAGGGTAACGAGATTGCAGATAGTCTTGCAAGGAAAGGGGCTTAAATACCCTTTGTAGGACCTGAGCCGTTCTGCGGTATCACCAGTAACATAATATTAGGAGAGATTAAAAAAGAATTGGGCAGTAAAAGAACCGATAATTGGAACAATCTCTTGGGGCTGAGACAGGCCAAGATAATAACCAGAAAAGATCGGAAACCTGCATCTGCCTAAGCAAGAACAGATTATGTATTGTAACAGGGATCTTTACCGGGCATTGCCGACTAAAATAACACCTAAGTAAACAGAGAGTAGTAGAGGATAGTGAGTGCAGATTCTATAAAGAGGAGAACGAAACCTCCATTCACATCCTAACACAATAGATCTTTTAGATCGCTATGTATTAACATTCCATTCTTAACATAAAATGGTTACGCCAAGGGGTCCTATGATTGAACGTTTACGTTATCCGTAACGTACATGTTAGACCGAATTTTAAAAGTAACGAGGCAAGTTCTTATGATGGAAACCTGTTAAATTAGAACATAACAGGAGGAAAATAACAGTAATGTGTTGAAAAAAGTTTTCCATCGTACGAACTTGCCTTGTTACTGTTAAAACTCGGCCTAACATGTACGTTACGGATAACGTAAACGTTCAATCATACGACCCAAGGTCAGTTACCCGGGATGGTTATCGAAGATGGCAGCTTGACATTAGTATTTGCCAGTGTTGTATCATATTTATATTATTTGAAAATGTAGTATTCTATTGGTGAATTAATTAATAACGCAGTTACTTTTCTTAACGAAATAATGTAATAAATACAGTTCATCAAATTTCTAGAGGCTTTCGACGGCTAGACAGAGGAAGCACTACTGAGAGGAATCGGTTGGCGGGGCCGACGGATTAACGCAATGAAAGTATACTCTGCGCATCAAGTATTTCACTATTTCATTCAGACGTAAATGTCAGATGTAAATTTCGCTAAAACATTTCTTTTATTTTCGTTTGTGTTTTTTAACCGACTTCAAAAAAGGAGGAGGTTATCAATTCGTCGTGATATTTTTTTTTTTTTTTTTTTTTATGTATGTTCAGTGATTATTCTTTAACACGGTGTCCGATTTCACTGATTCCTTTTTTGTTAGAAAGGGGGTATTTCAGGGGTAGTCCCATATAAATTTAGTCAAAATCTAATAATTGGGTCCATGAGAAAATCCTCAAACTCTTCATTTTTTATGTATATTCAGCGATAATTTTTTAACACGGTGTCCGATTTCAATAATTCTTTTTTTTTTAGAAAGGGGCTACTTTAGGGATGGTCCCATATAAATTTGATTAAAATCTAATAATTGGATTCATGAGCAAATCCTCAAACTCTTAATTTTTTATGTTTGTTTAGCGATAATGCTTTACCACCTTGTCCGATTTATACAATTCTTTTTTTGTTAGTAAGGGGGTACCTCAGGGTGGTCCCATATAAATTTGGTTAAGATGTGGTAATGGCATCTGCACGTTTTTGAAGTCGGTTTTTTTAAATTTTTAATTTGTAATACTTGTTGCTCATTACAGTTTAATAGAACCTAAATATGAAGTTTAATAGCAAATTAAGAGGCCGCGTGATTAACAGTCAATCTCGCGAAATAATAGCCAATGTTATAGAGTTTATGAGAAGAGAAGGAAACTTTAATTCACCTTCAATACCATTTAAAAATGTAAATGATCGTGTTGCTGCAGCCACAGGAGTATCTAAAAACACTGTCGTCCGCATTTCGGGAGAGAAAAAAAGAATCGATAACCGTGAGATATCGGAATTTTCATCACCAAGAAAAACCATTAAAAAACCAAAAACAGTTAATGATATAGATGAAGCTGCACAAGAATCAAATTTTATTTTTTTATTATTAGATAGCTATTTTTGTTTCTGAGTTGTGTTCATTTACAGGCTCAATTTTTTTCCGTTTCTCCTTTTTGATTTTATATGGGGTTTCAAGTTGTTTTTGACTTATTTCGACGTAAATCACAACACACTTTTTTAATAAAGCAAACAAGTGTTAAGATGTATATGTACGTGTAATCTACAATTACAAAAAATTGATATGAAACCCATGAAACCACCAACAAAAATGTAAAGCTAGCTTCCGTACTAGAACATGGTGTCATTCGTCGAGATAATTTATCGTTTTGTTTAATAGATCAAGAAATGTAAATATTCC